CGATTTTCATTTACTTATAAATAACACGTTTTTATTTAAAATAACTGCTAAACATAGATTCTTAACCATTTGAAATGAGTAGGAAAGATTTTTCTATGAACTACTTAGCGCTATAAACTTGGTCTTATACATTTTATTTATGGGGAGGGCTTATATTCTGTTACCTATATACCTATTCTGATCGTAAAGCAGATTTGCGCGTGCTTGCGTAACAATGTCGGCTTCAAACGTTAACGCTTTTATTGCTTTTTCGCACAAACTGGAAATATCTTAAAAACAGGTACTATTTTGCATCGAACTCGTTTACAACAGATTAACATAGTTCATAAATCCGTGCCAATCTAAAAACAAAACGAGTTCGCTAATTATCACAACATTCCAAGAACGATTTGCTGAAACACTTTGAATCACAGTGAGTAAGGCGTAATCATGATCAACAATGATATTTTAAGATCTATTGAGGTTGGATTTTTAGTCAATTCTTCCCCAAAAATCTCTCAGTAAATGATCTCCTTGTATTATCATTAACAACAGTATTGTATTTGGCAAACCCAAATACTCTCCATTAAACAAAACAAGATATTTATTTCATTTTATTTTTATCGAATCCAAAATATATTTTTATTGGTCTGTATGCAAGCTATTTCTTCTCTGTGTATGTCGTTGATATTATTGATTCTAAAAAAAATTGAAAAAAAAATTATCGAGAATTCGAATTGCAATAAGTGCGCCTCAAAAATTAAGAGAGTTGTGATAAATATTACCTGATATATGATTAAATATTTTACATAGTTTATTCTTGATGGTTTCGTTTTTTATATGTTTTCAAACGATGTGTATATGAATCAATAACTTCATTTTAACGTTGTTACGTATTGTTACGTAACAGTAGATGTAAACCCTTGCTGCAATTTCGTATGCTGCAGTTTATTCATTTGCTTAACCGAGTTCAGCTAACATGTGTGATTTTGTTTACCATTTTAAAGGAAAACCAGGCAGTGATAAGGAAGAGGAGTTAACTTTTTACCTTTATTTTTTAGACCAACATGTTCATAAACTTTAAAAGGCATAAAGTATATATTAACGATCAGAAAATTGGGACCTCCTGAAGTATGCGCCAAGATGGCGCACAACCTGAACTCAGGTTGTGTACCAGGTTAGGGTTCAGTTTATGTGACATCTTGGTGCGCATACTTCAGGAGTACCCAAAATTGTGTTTTATTTAGATTAGGTGCGCCGTGAGTTTTTCCTGATAAATTTGCGCCACACGAACCGCTGCCTCACGCCAAACTTGATCATTAAGAGTGAGTAACAATGCCGTCAGTGGCCAAACATCATAATTAATTATAATTGTGGCCTGCATTAACAAACAGCGAGCTACGACTGGACTTGCTGCGCGGCAGAAAGCAGTCGCGCCCATGAGGGAGGTTCATCGGAATAAATGCGTGTTTGTTTTTGTTATCGAATATGCCCACTAAAAGATAAAAAAATTCAAGGTGTCATTAAAATATCAAAAATGTAAATTTCGAACGGTTTAGCATTATTAACGTGAGCAGCACGTCCACAATATTTTGTGTCTGCATCTACTTGAAAGCCTATGTTTGATAAAGCGTGGCCCGCAGTTTCACATAAGTATTTGTATTTGGCTCTCCTGCGAAAAAGTTTGTCTGACTTAAATAATTATCTCGGGGGACAGTAGGGTCGATAAGAAGATTTGATTATATGGTGAACACAGGCCTCTCCTGTTACCAAGTCAGGCATTGGGTTACATTATCTAGTCATTTGTTTTATTCAAATAGAATTGATAGCGGTAGAATCCGTAACCAACAAGTGGTTATGTGAGCCACCCTATGGCGCCGAGGAGCCAGTGATTCTCTCGCACATATGAATTAACAACAGGATTTAACGCACGCAGGGTAATCAATCAGAGGTGCGAAGAAGAGCGTTAGCACAATGCGCTACACTGCCGAGCCCGCATAGGGTACAGTATAAAAACCCTAATTCACAAAAAGATTATGCGGTTGCAGTCCAGACTAGTGCATATAGGTGCATACAGTACTGACATAGTACACTCAGGAACACCATTACAAACGAAGATGGGAATTTTGAACTTTTAATTTATTAGTATTAAATACATCAGATTATCAAAAGTTAACACATAAAATTTCTACAGCGGAAAATATTAATTATGCTACAGCTGTTAATTATTAATTTGAAACACTAACTCATTTAAAAAATACAATCGCATATTTGAGAATTATAAAATATCTTCAAAAATAAAAGGTTTTGATTGTTACATTGTGGCCCCATAAGAGTTTGGCAATCATTTCTATATTGCATACAAATCTTGGCACAATTTCTACTATTTTTCATGTAGGCGAGAGAGATTTGAAAGTATTTCGAAAACATGTCTTTTCATGAAGCTTTACACTTGATTGGCAGTCCTCTTAATTCAAAATTCATAACTTGAAGCACCGGTATTCAGATTAGAATAGTAGCAGAAGAGACATGTGTATTTCACTGATACGGCATCGATGAAAATTCAAATACGTATTTTCGAATAAAAAAATTAATTCAATTTCAATTGACTATCTATACGAGAATTGCCTTAAAAAATCTAGTCAACTTTAACATATAACTCATTGCTTTCGACAACAGAAAATGCATATTTGAGAATTAAACCATTAAATTTCAATTAAGACAACTATTTCAAGGATGAACATAAAATTTAGGTGTAGTATCTATAACTTCATTATAGGTATATAGGAATGCTTGCATTCATGGAAAGTAATTCAGATGATATGGGACTGATGTTGAAATTCTATATTACTGGCGTATTATAACCTTAGACTGAATGATATCGCAACAAGAACAATAGTATATGACAATTTTTAGAAACTAATTCATTAAATTTAACTCGAGTTAATTCAGTCCATGTCGAACTAGAAATCCTTTTCCGAATTTTATTTCTATACAAGTATGGGGGACTTCCAGGAATAAGATTGATTGTTATTGTAGAAGTGAACAGAACATACACAAGAAATCTAACAAATGGTGGAAACAAAAATCATAGAATAAAGAAACTTATTTTCGCAAATCGAATGAATGGGTTCCATTATATCAGGAATTATTAAAAAATATCAGGAAATGTAAAATAGGATTTGTATATTTATCCCAGTGATTAAAAATAGACCTAAGTGTAAAATATTGCAAACCAAGTAGCCTTTAGCCTAGAGCAGTGGTGCCCAACCTTTTTCGTTGAATTCCTGCCTTTTCTTATTTTGGAACTCTTTTTGCCTCACTCACTATGCATAAATAGTAATTTAATGGGTGTTTGGTTCAGTAGCAATTGTTATACGCAAGTCGCATTTGTACAGTGCAGGTAGTTTATAATGTGTGCATAAAGAAGTATTATAGTAACAAAACAGACCTCGACAATATTAGTAATTCCGCAGCAAGGGCAAGGCAAATTTCCCTCTCAAGGCCGACAAAATTTCTCAGCGATTGGAAAACAATGCCCTAGTGAGTGTAAATGCTGGGCAGCAAGGCTTTTCACAATATTCAAGACCATAATTTGGCGCGGCGACGTGACTCATCGTGATAAGCGTTGGGAATACGCTCGCCACCGCTACTCTGATTACTCTGCGTGGGTTCGCAGGTTCGAATCTCATGCAGGGATGGTTATGAGCGAGAGGATCCCCGGGATAAATATGTAAATCCTATTCTGTCCTAATTTGATCACACACCAGTTAATATAGTTGATATAAAATAAATGGAAGTTCTGAGAGAGAAGGGTTTTTTGCGATATTCAGGGAGTTGAAATTACAATTAAATAAAAATATATTTGAATGACCAGCAAAATATAAAAATGGTCATACTAATTAAAATAAAGAATTGGCAGCTATGGAACGTTCGATAGTCAATATGACTGGTGAGACTTTTATAATCACTGATTCTCTTATATAAAGGTTCATATCTTTAGGAATGTCAACCATCACCCAGGTTTTCTTCTCAGAAACACTTGATGAATTCAAAATATATAACTCGAAGTATGGGTATTCAGGTTACAATAGTAGCATAGTGCATAGGGAACACATGTAACTCACTGATACAGCATTAAAAACAATTATGAAAAAAAACACTAAAATTTCAATAAGTTAACTATTTCAAGGATGAACATAAAATTTAGGTGTAGTAACTTCATTACAGGCATATGGGAATACTTGCATTCATGAAAAGTAATTTAGTTTACTTGAAAAATATTATTCTTATGGTGTGACAGATGTTGGAATCCTATATTACTGGCACATTTTAGTTTAACCTTAGACTGAATCATGTCGCACCAATAACAACATTGTTTTATCCAGCAATTTTTACCATTTTTTTTATCCTAATGCATTCAATCTAGTTCGTCAATAACCGCCCTAATTGAAGTACCTTCAGTCCATGTCGAACTAGAAAGCCTCTTCCAAATCAACTAGTAACTCCCTCTAGTATGATATATTGTTATTGTAGGAGGAAACAGAATATCCACAAGAAATTTAACAAACAGTGGACACAAAAATCAGAAATAAAAACTTCCTTTTTGCAAACTGAATTAAAGGGTTTCAGAAAGTACTTTAAAAATCAAGGAATGTAAAATAGGATTTACATAGGATTTACATTGGACGAGAGGCCGTGGTAAGCCATATGGTTAAGCAGTTTTATGGCTTTCCTCTCCCTCAAGATAAATATGTAAATCTTATCCTAATTTGATCGCACACAAATTAATATGAGTTGATATAAAAATATTGGCAGTATCGGGAGAGGAAGGGTTTTATACAGGGACTGAGTTTAAATTACAATTTGAACAGAAAGAATATTTGATTGATTTGCAAAATACAAAATATAAAAATCAAGTGCCAAGATAAATGGGAATAAAATAGTTAGAAGCTGTGGAACGTTTGAAAGTCAAATTGTTGGTACAAACATTCATATGGCTTCTATATTCACTGACCCCATTATATCAAGGTCATATCTTTGGGAATGTCAACCATCACCCAGGTTTTCTTTTCGGAATCGTATTTCTCCATGGTATTCCTTGTTCTGAAAGAGAGTTAAGAACAAAAATAAGCTACAATACTAAACATAACTACAGGCTTACAAATTTGTTGAGACTCGTGAGAAAGACTAATTTTTAATGATTTGCCATTTCCAAACCCATATGTGGTTCTCAAATGGTGGGCGCTGCCCCACAATTGCGTAGAGGGGGTATGAAACTAATTGAAAAAAAAAACTATTTGTTAGATTTGATCTCCTTATTTTAGATATTCAAACTTCTTTATTTTGGATATTTGGGTTCCCTCTAAATATTTACAACATGATTTTTAAATAAAACGTACTTTATTATCTGTTATTTGTAGCTTGTTGTTAGCTACAGCAGTTATTTTTGACGTGGGACGCAAGACTTGACAAATTCTGAAAACAGGTTGTATAAAGTATTTTGGGTGAAATCATGGGTTTGAGTATTGACTGCTTGACCAATGTTAGTTCGAACTGCTATGGAACTGCCGGCATCACTCAGGTTGAGTGGGTTATCAGGCAAGCCTGAGTTACTGGAGTCTATTTGGATTATTAAACAGCAGAGGAAGTCATGATTTATGAACAAACCTTCATGGTAGGGTCATACTTGATAGCACTGGTCGTCGATCCTAATATATTTAAACCAGCGGTAATACTTTAACTGAGAGGAATGCCCCTATTTAGGGGGATAAATTCAGCACGAAAGCCTACTCAAATATAGAGCGCTTTATAAATCATCTTCGAATGAGAACTTAATTTAGAGTCTAGTAATCGGGTGATTATTTTAAAAGCCACTATCAAGGAACTTTCTTCAAGATCCTCTTTGGACGTCCTGGCACGTCTATGCAGATGGGAGTTATAAATTAAATTTCAAACAAGTCGAAACAGTCATCATCATTAAAAAAAATGAAATATTCATCAGAGTCACTGTAACCTTATTATAACCAATATCACGTAACTACGATGAACATTTAGTATCTGCGCAACTGAATGCAATGTGATATAATAATGATATAACTATACATACTTGAGTCCACCAACTGCATAAATGTTCCCGTTGAAAACAAAGCTATTGAGGAGGTGACGACCCAATAACATCGGTGCAAACATGGTCCAGGAATTGGATGATGGATCGTATGTTTCAACAGTTTTCAGATAGTGGCACCCATCACCTTGTATACAAAAGAGTAAAAGTGTGTCAATATCAGCACAAAGCTAAGTCATACACTTGAAATCCAAACATCCAAAATATCAGCTTTTGCATGTACTCAGAAGATATATCTCATAAAATATAAGCTTATATATAAATTTAAAAAACATATCACTGGGAGTTGGGTAAATATTGTATGTGAATATCAGCACTCGGCTCGAATATATCACTATTTAGAAGAAATATTTCATAGAACATGAGTATTTTCATTTTGAAATAAATTTATTGCCAAGTACAAGCAATTTCAATCCAGATCAGTTATAGCTTTTCAAGTCATATAGAAAAAATGTCTAAAAAACATTATTTTAAAAAAAATAATTTGAGTCAAATTTATGCAATTGTGATATCAGGAGTTGAATCAACTATTTGATTGAACACAAAAGAAATCAGATGTGACTGCGGAGTTCGTAAAGTAGTTTGCGACTCAAAATAGTTTGTTTGAATCTTGCTTAGCCTTTGTCTGAAGTTTTAAATAAACCTCCAATTTCATAAAATTCATGTATTTTAATAGCAATCCCAGAATAATTTTCATCTGCGCATATGCCTAAAAATAATGTTCGAATATGTACAATATTAATTTATGTTCAATTTTTAAAATGAAGACATGTGTCACGTTTTTGTTGTGTAATATAATAAGAAAAGAAGTTCAGTTTGATTCATAAGAAGATTTTTTGTAAAGCAAAATTATCAAAAGCCAGATAGACCTGAATTGGGTGGGATGAGTGAAACTGAGAAGTAAGATCTAAAACTTAGAAGACCAATCTAAAGCTTAGTCAGGTTTTTATCATCTCATAGTCATCAAGTTGGGTGACAGCATAATATAGCAAGGTATCAATAAACTTGTGCCTTAGACCAGGGGTGGGCAAACTGCGGCCCGCAAAGCAAACTTGTGTGGCCCGCGGGAGAAGTGACAATTTTGAATAGAGTTTTACTTGTAAATGCCCTAATCCATTCTAAGCCCCCACAAAACTCAGACATAATATTTGTATAAATTATAATAATGGTTAAAACTTGCAACAAATACATGTTCGAATTAGATTTCTGTAGAATAAATAGAAAAGGTACATGTGGAAAGAAGAAGAAATATTGAATAAAAACTACGAACTGTATATTTGTTTACCTTAGGCATTGGCCAACTAGGATAGACTAAACGAAGACCATGGAGAATGGGAGGACGGCGCAGTCGGAAGAGAAAGCTAAAGTTGACAGCTGAGAGATAACGGAATGTGAAAATGAGCACACACAAATTCAAATTTTTCAATTTTTTTCATTTCATTTTAGTTTTGTTTTAACTGTTATCATTATCTTACTAAATTTGGCTAGAAACACATTGTACATGCCCACAGGAAACAAATTGGTCAATAGAATGACAGATAATTTATCGCCACCTCGCACACAGCTGCTTTCGAGTTACGACAAAAAATAATTGTAAAATGTTTTGAATCAAAACACACGAACAGGATTGTTAGCATATGTGCATCATATTTCGTATTCTTATAAACGCGAAAAACGATATTCGAAGGTTGCGATATTAAAATATTATATTCAAATTGGACATCCCTTCCTCAAGCACTGCATTGAATTAACCTACAATAAACAAATATCACTACACTCGATTTGCAAGTTTTCGGCTTTTCGTATGTAGAAAATCTTACATTGGCCGAAGCAATATTTTTACAAGAAGAATTTTCATAGTTGTATCCAGAGCCTTTTATAGGTAGAGTTTCTATGTGCGACCCGCGGCTTCATCCACTTATTAGCAACTAGCCCTCCTGTAATATAGATTTGATATCCCTGCCTTAGACCACAAAAGCTTTTTATGACCACGCTATATTTGAAAATGAGCTTTTTGTCCAAAAGGCAGATAATGTTGCACAACTTAACGGGATAATCTGAAAGAATTCTTACTGGCCTTACTCTTTTGCTTTGTCAGGCGTATTCAAATATCCTTCTTTCTCATTTATAAGTGTATTGTTTGAAAAGGAATGAAAATTATTTACTTATTTACAGTAATTTGGACCTTTTTTGATAAATATAGATTTTGCTACACCAGAACTAGTTCAATTTCGGCATTGCTTGTGGCTCTCATGAATCACTGTGTAGTAAATACAAAATGTAAAAGCACATACTGGTAGAATAAATCGAAGGTGGTTTGATATATAAAATTATTAAACTCTACACAACTCTGTCTGTTAGTATAAAACTTTAGAATTGAATCATTTTGGTAAAAGAATTTAAACTGTATGTTATTTAGACTTGAATGAACTTGTACAACTCACCAAGCACATAAAGTCGATTCTGACATTCAACAGCAGCAGGTGCCCCTCTTGCATTCAGCATTGGCGAAATGAAACTCCATGTTGATGTATTTAGATTGAAGCATTCTACTTTGTTGGTTGAAATTGATCCTTCCAGTCCTCCCAAACTATAAATGCTTCCTGCAATTGCAAAAAAAAAATTCCGGCTCCTAGCATAACAGCAGCACACAATATTGGGATTTTAAATGAAAATGTGTAATATCTGATGTAATTTCTTAAAGTTTGTTCAAAGAAATATATCTACTCCCTGTTCAAAATGAAAAGCTTGATCAATAACAAAGCATTCGTTTTAAATACTAGCTTCATGTAGTAACATACATCGGTAGTTGAACATAAATAGTTCTCAACTGATGTTTGACTACAGATTTGTTTAAATACCGAAATATTTTTGCTACAAGAAATATAAATAATTTTAGTTAGTTCCAAACTACCATAATTATTAACAAAAGTGTACAAAACCACTATTATTTAGCTGTATACATTATGAAGTTCAAACATAATAAAAATACAAAATTTTGTATCGGTTATGTTAATTTGCGTATTTCCGTATGGGATTCGTTTTTAGGTGCAATGAGGGTCTTTAAAATTGCACACCATGTACCGGCTGCTTTTGTGTTAGTCGTAAAGGTTACCGTACTGGTAGTCTACAGTGACACATTGTATTACTGTACTACTTCGATTTGGTCTTGTGTCCATATATTTGAGCATCACTCTCATGTTGAATGTTTAAGAGGCAGTTGTGCTTTTTGGGTAACTCACTCCGTGGTGCACTCTGGTATTCAAGCACTGAATTTTTGTTTGAGTACCGCAGCATTTTTGGCTATTGATCTCACAAATTTATAGGAATATTTCAAATTAAAGCCTTTTTACACTTTAATATAAAATACTTAGTGGAGAAATTTTTTTGATTGTTACTATATCGAGCAAAAATCGAGCTTCGCTAAGGTTGCTAAGTATATAAAACATGAGAAAAATTAATTAGATGGACGTCATGTATTTAAAAATAGAAACAATTATTATTTGTCACTTGGCAGCACTTCTTGTGTTAAATGGTTCCGACGATCTCATATCAGGCGCGATATGATATTTATCTCGAACTACATTGATAATGAACTTGAAAAATGAAAATAACTTGCTTTTTTTCACTATACGTGATTATGTTCTGCGACGTGACTAACGTGCTAAGCATTAGGAATAAACTCGTCATCGCACCTCTGATTAGCCTGTGTGGGTTCGCAGGTCCGAATCTCATGTAGGAATAATAATATGCGAGAGGATTGCTGGACTTCTCACCATCGTAGGGTGGTTTGCGAAATTGCTGGTCGGTTACGGCTTCCTCCACCATCAAGTCCATGAATCTGAAAACAAATATGTGACTAACTAATCCCAAACCCGAGATGAACTATTAAGCGGACAAGAGGCCATGCTTTACCATATGAATAAGCCATATTAGCGGCCTCCCTCTCCCCCAGGATAAATATGTAAATCCTATCCTAAATGTTATAATATATATCTTTCCAAGGGTTCTTGCATTGAAATTTAATTTTATCAAAAAGCTACCATTCCAACATAGCCTATTATGTTTGCATTCTTCTATTAGACAGCATCATTAAAAAATTTATTTTTTCAGTTAACTCAGAATATTTAGTCGGCAGACAGCGCTTCACTTTATTCAGTTTTAAACAGTCATTTGATGGGATTTTTCAACAAAAAGAGATATATCTCCATCAGCATGTTGAGTACATTTGATAAAAATGTTTATTATATTCTTTATATTCTTTTTTGTGATTAAAACTTGACAATTTTAAGTAAGTTGGTGCAATATTAATCTAAGAAATGGAACGTTTGCCGATCCATGTTTTCAGACATCTATGCTACTAAATAAAATGGAGATTGTATTATTACATGATGGACGCTCTTAATGCATTTCACAGAATAATAAAAAGCCAGAAAATTAGATCTACGATATCTCAAACAATCACATTAATCGAAAAATGATGGAGATGATTTTTAAACACTAAAAAACAAACTAAACAAAGACACTGAACTTACTTACTTACTGTCTGGCAACGTATTGGAGCATTTGATAAAATAAACTGATTTGAAGAAAACTCACCTTGCATGCAGATAACTGCAGGACTGTAACACTTAACATTCTTGCTCTTCATCTTTGTCCACTGGTTTCTCAGAGAATCATACTTTTCCACTGTTTTTGTGTCAGATCGACCACATCCACCAACAACCCAGATGTCACCTGATATGCAAATAAAACTTCAAATTGGATATTTGATCTTTTTTAAAATTTGAATATATTAGGGCGGCATTGGCATAATGATAAGGGCATTACGAAGCTTTAATCCCCAACACAGCAATCAAAATTTGTCTGCTTAATCTGAATAGAAACTCTTAAAAGTTCACAGTAGAGGTGGGGGTTATGGTCTCGTGAGACGTGCAAGATGGTAAAGAAAGGTTCTTGAGTTCAAACCCCGGTTAATTCAGTGGAAGTCCATGACAATTATCTTTGAGCTTAGTATGACGAATGGTACAATATTCATTTTACAAAATGTTGTATTACATCATTATGGACAAGGAATTGCAACAACATACAGAGGCCTGACAGGTTTGTAATTGTACCCGTGCTAGTTAAAGTTTAACACAGATATAATTGCATTTAACCCAATATGTAATTATTTCGAAGTATGCTCACGATCACGATATATGTAAACTAAGATGGTAGAAACCAGAACGAAAAGGGGTGTACCAGGTTAAGGTAAGGCCATAATTTTATTACAATTTATTTTTTATTTTAGTTCTATCACGTGGTTGAAGACTAGCCAAGTGACTCCCATAGTATTTGGACCTGAAAATTACTAACCCTATCCTGGCACACATCCTACATTTCGGTGTCCGCCATCTTGGTTTGCATACTTTGGAAGTACCAAAATTTAATTGTCATATCACATTAAAATTAATCATATTGGAAATTAATTTTATTCTTGGATTAGTAGGAAAGAAACCTCTGTTTATTTCAATGCTATTTGTTTACAATAGAAGCCAATAAAATACCGTTACTTTACTGCACAAAGAGTTGGGTTTATCGCTCCACTCTAATTTCAGACTTTATGATTACTCAAATCGGAAAGTCAATTCACTTACAATGGAAACGTAATATGCTGACATTATGAATATTTTCAATTTGTGTTAAGAGGCAGAAAATGGTTTGAACAAATTCACTCAAGTATTTTGCCAACCTCTGATAATACAGATACTTTATAAACAATGTATCTAAGACATCATGCTTTAACCTTAGTTGATTAATAGATCAAAAACTAAATTTAGTCATTGACAACCAAATTATATAGATTTGTGAAGAAACCCTAAAAATGCTTTAAATTTGTGATTACTTCAGACAAAATACTGAAATATAGATTATTTATACACTGAACATATAAAGTAGTGAATATTTGGAAAGTCTGGAAAAACATTAGTATTTGGTAATATGAATTGAAATAAAGAATTAATCAACGAAACGTCATTAGTTGGGTATATACACTACTAACCATCAACCAAAGTCATTGGTGGGTACCAGCCATGATCTTCAACGGACTCTTCAATTCCTCCCATGTAGCATTAACATCGACATATTTGAGTCGATAAAATGAGTTGTCTTGAACTAAGACATAAATATGCTGATTCAATGCAATAGCAGAGAACCATTTTGACTTCATATCTTCATTCATTTTCTATATAAAGAAAGAGTTTTGTGAGTTTCAGCTCATTACATGACACATATACAGAATGGGAGTTTGAGATTCCTGGGAACTCTACTGAAATCTAAGTTCGTGTTGCAAGTTAAAGATCCATGGTTCAAACCTGATGACTATCACCAGGGATGTCAGTTTTGATTATTTTATTTTTGAATCAAATTAAAATGTGTAAATTCTAGTATTTTGGTATGGTATGAGATAATCGTTTATTAATGCTCATTTTCGACCTCCCAAACTGGTAGCATCAGTGTTCGTATTAATGGCTGCTTTGTTCAGAGCGAAGATGAGGATGACCCCATAAAAAAGTCATATTTTATGTTAAAATGAAGTCGATTTATCTTTATCAATTATTCCTTCTTCACTATAATAGGCTTATTTGATATATTTGCAATAATGTTTGCAAAGATTCGTGACCTTCTATATGCTAAAAGTTTTCAGTGGTCAGTTGGTCATGAAGCTGATTATGCTTACCTGCATTTGCTTCCATTCATTTGACCTTGGATTGAACTGTTGGAGATGGGAAGAGGTCCTAGTCAAAAACGACCAATGCGTCATCTGGTATAAGAAACAAAGGCTGTATTAGATATATATAAAGCCATAAATATTACTAATCAATTACTGAGAATTTTCATTCGTCAATTTCGTTTTTCCTTACAGCCAGTCCATTATTTTTGCCACAATCAGTAAGGCTGTTTTACATAATGTGTGGCCATGATGCCCTATCCATATACAATTAACTAATAATTGCTCTTTTTATATAATACAGTTTTCAGTCATTGGTTTGCATTTTGACCAATAAATGTACTCTTGTCCAGTGTGCAGATGTGGGGTTGTGGAGTTGGGGAGAATTCACACCTGGGTCCAAAACCAAACTAAGGCCCATAAAATGACTTGGGTCCTGATTCCCAACTTGTAATTCACAAAAAAAATAATTCTGGATCCAATTTCAGGTTTGTATAAAATTTCGACTTCTACAAAAATGTTGACCACAATAGCTGTGCTTCAAGCAAGCCTTCTTTGATTCTATGTTGCGAATATTCAGTCAACTTGATGCTCTTTGAGTTTTGCAACCGAAATTTTGACTACGATAATCGCCATTGAAATTTTGAAACAGGAGAATAAAAATTTTTGAATAAGACTCTTGACTAACGAATGTTTGTAAAGCTGACTCCTGCTTCGAAACACCGAGTGGATGCTACCCTTTACTATACAATACAAATAGGTAATTATCTGGGGGGTGATGTGCTAGTGGTCAAAGTTTTGCACCTATGTATGGGAATGGGTACTTGTAATGGAATGCCAAATCGGACATATCACGTTCTTTCCGAAAACAGAATCTTGTTATGTATCAGTGTTTGCTTGAAGCTTATAATTGAGTAAAAACATGAATATTTGATGTTCATTGATTAAAATAATAGGAATCTTATTGAGTTGAATTACCTTCCAAAGCTGATGCAGAAGAACTTGATGCCAAAGAACTAGATGCAGAAGAACTCGATGGAGCATTCTTATCATCAATGAATGACAATGCTACGATTCGTAAAGTTTCTGTATTTGCAGCAATCAGACTCTGAAAACATGAGGATTCAGTGTTTAGTGTTTACTTCTTATAAGTTATGTTTGATTGTATATCAATATTTGTTTCGAAAATTTATCAGTCATGTGTGCAGTTGAATCAAAATGATATGTTAAAATTTACATTAAAATATTTGGGAAAAATTTCAAATGGAAAATGTTTCCTGCTGGTCTGTATGTTCACAACAAATACATTCAGACCTACCAGTGTTAAGGAAACCATATCTTTATAGATTGGCAAAATCTAACTCAAAGTCAATATCATCAGGAAAACAGTCATGAAGTAGTGAATTTCACATAACTGAAGAAGTGCTTGGAAAATAACTTTGGGCAATGGGCATAAATTATTTGTCCAGTCAGTACAATGACAGAAACTGGTGAGAAACTAAAAGACTTACATCTTGCTCCAGAAGTTTTCTGCGAAATGAAAGTGATATCTTGGTCAAATCAAATTGCTTGAAAGATTTGACAAACCCCTTTGAACGTTTCTTCTCATCGAATTTTGTCCAATTCATCAAAGCTAAGCATTTTTCCTCTTCAGATGCCTAAAATGAATAAATGTATTTTTTATACTAAAAAAATATCCTGGAATATTTTCCAGTTCAGGAATCTGGTTATAAGGGTGAAGCGATTTTGAATGGTATATGGAATATAAAAACATAGTCCGGAAACTCAATATTATGAAACCACAAATCCATTGATTGATGACTACCAAATACTTCTTAAGTAAGGAGAAAAGGCCTGTGCAAGCAAACATTTATGGGCAAAGTAAACATCAGCCTGGCTTGGCTGTGAGGCGCGTTATGCTAAGCGCTGGAAATACGCTTCCATCACACCTCGGATTGTCCTGCGTGGAATCCAATGAAGGGATAGGTGTGTGCAAGGAGTTGCTGGACTCCTTGCCGCCGTGTGATGGTTCATACCACTGGTCAGTTACGACTTTTTAACCATCAAGACCATGTAACTGAAAAAAATAACTAGCTAACTAATCCCATGCCCGGCATTAACTAGTAACGTGATGAGAGGCCCTAGTTAATCACATCATTGAGCTGCGTTATTGGCTTTCTTCTCCCTTGAGATAAATATATAAACTCAACCCCTCAGTGGTATCCATCTTATGTATAATAAAGTGTAAACGTCAAACAGAGTGTGACTGAAATATTAAATGAGAGTCTGAATAAATAATATCCCACTAACCGTGTTATCCTTGGCTTTGATCATTCCCACCAACTGTTTTTCATCTATTTCCTTAAATTCTTCCAGTTCTGCAATTTTTGCAAAGTTGTTGGAAGCAATTTTATCACATTTGGCTTCGAGTTGTTTCAGATCGTACAACTTGGAGATATTTATGGTGATGAAGTAAGATTTGGGATCCAAATTCTGTTCCAGGTATTCAGTGACAATACCACATAATTCTGAAAAAGATTTTTATTAATTAAAAATTAAATCATTAAAAATTACTAAATATAAGAAAAAACGGAGACATTCAGTGGTAGGTTTCACAATTATTTAACCCGCTATGGCTCTAACCATTTTACCACAAAAATCCGAAGAATGTGAACCAAGATGGCGAACACTGAAACGTAGTATGTGTGCCAGGTTAGGATTAGGCCTTAATTTCAGGTACAACGGGAGTCACTTGGATAGTCCTCGAACTCGAAATAGAACTAAAATAAAGAAATTGTAACAAAATTATGGTCTAACCCTAACCTGGTACACATACTATGTACCGATGTCAAGGTTCAAGAAAAAACGAACTCACTTTCCAGTTGGAACATATGAGAAGATTGCATATATGATGCGATATCAGATGTCTCATCAATAGGGAATTTGGAAGTATACATATACTCGATAACTTTCTCAATAGTATCCGCACTGAAGCCCTGGATATCAACTTCTCCTGACAGAGTCTCAACCGTCTGAAAAATATTTTTGAAGGTGTAAGTTGTAAGTAAATAAATCACACTGTCAAGATTTGTCTCATATATCAATCGTGTACTATTTTATTGAAACCCTCTCTTGCACTATCCATGTCTATGGGAACCCTGGGAGGGTTTCTATATTTCCAGGGCAGATTCGTGTGTTGTCACATTATGTTGGGGCAATTCTGGATCCCCTGTATTTGTAATTAGTATGTATTAGTAATCCTGGTCTCGCATGGTGGACTATTAACCCAGGATCACAACATACTGCAGAACTATGGTCATTGAATGGAAACTTCGATGAACATTTGTTCGATTTTTTTTTACGAGTTAGCTTTCACTTTTTATGACTTATATTTCACGGGTTTTATTGCAAACAAAGCAGTATAAGCAGTCACTAATAGCTAAGAATCTATTACTTTGGGAACAAACAGAATCTTTTCAGTTGGAATTGCCCATCCTGGGTGAGGTGGCGGGCATGAGGTTTGAACTGGGTTGACTAAGCCATAATGCCAACTATTATATTTGTATTCAGATATTCTAAATATACTAACCTCATGTCGAAACATTAATTTGAAATAATCAGTTGCAGTAGACAAAATAATCTTATGCACTCGGAATTTTTCTGAACCAACTTTGATCGTAAAATCACAATATAGACCAGCTTTCCTGTACCTGAAATAAAAATATATAATTTTAGTATGACAAATTCAAAGATCAACTCCGAACAGAAAATTGTTATGTGTTCGTATATTATTATAGTTATACAACTACCTAGTTACTAAAAATCAATATCAACCATAACTCAAGCGCCCACGTAATGGTTAGAAATGTCGCGAAATGTGTGGTCCAAAAAGTCAGTCATTTGTTTGTTTTCTGATCTATACATGAAATGATGAACGTCATATTTTGGCATTACTGAAATTAAACGAACATTCTCAACGATCCGGATTCACCCATGATCATGTAACCTCGTTAGTTGAGTTGGTACTGTAAAATCATTTAAGCCTGATATTAGTAAGCTGGTGGCACAAAAGAGATGCCAAAGGTCAGGACATATGTAATGAAAAAACATCGAGTTTAATAGGCTGGGATAGGATTTACATATTTATCCCAGAGGAGAGGAAAGCCGATAAGACGGCTTATCCATATGGCGAACCAAGGCCTCTCGTCCGGTTACCATTCCAAGTTGGGTATGGGATTAGTTATATATATTGTTTGTTTTCGGAAGCATGGACTTAGTGGTGGAGGAAGCCGTAACCGACCAGCGGTTACGTGAACCACCCAACGACGGCGAGGAGTCCAGCAATCCTCTCGCACATAACCATCCCTGCATGGGATTCGAACCTGCGAACCCACGCAGAGTAATTAGAGGGTTGAGCCACACCGCCGTGCCATCTGTAGTATTTTTGTAAATTTTAGGTCTATATATTTAGATTAAGTCATTTTTAATGCATGTATTATTCTTTCCTTATATTATACAGTATTATATTATACAGTAAATTGCAATAACAGTGAAATGCAGAAAAATTAATATGTACCGTAAATGGCATTTGAAATTTAAGAAAATAAGAAAACTTCATTCAGCTGTTTAATTGCAGTACAATATATGTCACAAACTACACCTATCTAAAATATGCTTCAAGTATACATTATAAAAATATATCAAAAACTGTCTGCGGCTCTTTGCACAATTCCCAAAATGCAATGCGGCCCCCGAAAACCCACAAGTTTGACACCCCTGACCTAGACTGATATCCAGACAAACAAACCATGAACTGCAATATCGAATATTGCAGAATTAAGAATATTCTCTCTATTTTACATTTGAACATGTTTCTTTGGAATAGTAAATCACACATCTCCGCCATCCCCCACTGTCAACCCTAATATGGGTAGGATTCATTTATTTATGTCGGGGGAGAGGAAAGCCACTAAACTAAGGTAGGCTTAATCATATGACGAATCATGGCCTCACGTCCGGATACTAGTCCATGTAGGATATGGGTTTAGTTAGTTAGTTATTTTGTTTTCGGAAGCATGTACTTGATGGCGGAGTAAGCGGTAAGCGACCAGGGTTATGTGAACCACCCCATGGCGACGAGGAGTCCAACAATTCTTCCGTACATACCTATCCTTGCATTGAATTAGACTTGCGAACCCATGCAGGGTAATCAGAGGTGAGTTGGTGAGCGTATCACTAATGCTTAGCAAGATGCCCCACACCGCCAAGCCTGGCATAAATCTAACATTTCAAATTAAATATATCGAACATTTCCTAAAGGTAACTACATCTGAATAGTACTGTAAGATATTTTAGTTTGTTTGGACATTGAAAAAAATTCCGTTGTCTCAGCTGGCTATAGGGAGCTAGCTGTAATATAACCTGGCAAAGCTGCAACTGGTAACTAATTTACATACATCAGTATTATAGAAAAGAATAAAAATTAACTCAAAGCAAGATCACTCACTCACAAGTAAAGGGTTCTTACCTCTAGGCAATGTTACAGGCAACCACAATAAATAATTTACTAGGCAATGCCCAGTCATGAATGTTCCAATGTTCGAGGCAAAAGGCATGGATACAGAACAAATAAGAAATACGATTTCACAGATTTCAATGTACCGTATCCAACAACATGGGTTGTCGATAAGGAGTTGTTTTCAAGTCAAGGACAAAGATATGTTTTATAAACAATTTACAATATTCATTTTTTTTCGAGCATAATACCACCACATCTTGCAAAAACCCGTCTACAAAATGATTTGATTTACTGTATGAGGGATATTTTTCAGTTGAAAATTTGTCTATGTGTATGTTATTACCGGTACATCAGCATCTTTTTAAGGCAGTAGTTTTATGTTTTCATGGTCATAATTAGCAACATCTCTGCATCCAACCCCAACCTGTAATAAATTCCACAGGAATAATATCCAATTCAATATCTCGAAGACCGCAGGTATACTTATACAAAAAGGTTTTCAGAGACTATAATTTAACAATTTTTCTCAAGAATAGTGTTCCCCTTTTTAACACTATTTTCTGGCTACACAGTCTCTATAAGTATAAACTGTACCATTCAATAGTTATTATTTGGTAAACTATACTAAACAAAGTTTCTTATGGCATTTTTCGCTGAAATTGTTTCTAGAGATGGCAAATTATATTATATACAGCCAAGGTGATTTTAACATGGGAAACTGAGTTTTTATTTGCCAAATTATAAGTACCTAAGTTGCCTTATCAGCTTAGTCAATAGTAAGTTCTTACACATCAGCGAATGCTTCCTTGTTGCCTTATTCAGAAAGAAAAACAGTTTACAATATTCATTATTTTTCCGAGCATATTACCACCACGACTTTCAGAACTCGTCCACAAAATGATTTGATTTCTGTATGAGGGATTGTATATTTTTCATTTGAAATTTTTCTGCGTGTATGACTGTATGTTATTACCAGTACATCACTATTATTTTAAGGCAATAGTTTATGTTTTCATGGTCAAAATCTAACTTGTATTCATAATTAGCAACATGTCTGCAACCAACCAGACCTGGAATAAATTCCACAGGAATAATATCCAATTCAATATCTCAAAGACCACAGGTATACTTATACAAAACTTTCCGAGACTATATTTTAAAATTTTTTCCTTAAGAATAGTGCTCCCCTTTTTAACAATATTTTCTGACTACACAGTTTCCATAAACTGTATCATAAAGTTAATATTTGGTAAACTACACTAAACAAAGTTCCTTATGGTATTTTTCTTTGGAATAGTCCAGGGGTCGGGAACCTTTTTGGTCAAGAGAGCCCTAAAATATACATATTTTCAATTGCATTTCTGTGCGAGCTATATAACATTTCTTCACTTAATCAGGCCTGAAACGTTTACTCAAAAGTCAACACATTCCATGTCAATATACATTTAATGTGACTTCTGATGCTGCATGTTGTTGCTGCGGGCCTTGAACGGTTGCTCACATGCAGCCCAAGTTGAAATCTACGATACTCATCACCCTTTTTCGTTTAGGAATCTCCGTGGTATTTTAAAACTCTATCGCTTTGTGATGTCACAATATATGTTCCAGAATCCCCATGTCTTGTCACAATGCCTGTCTGGTAATTCTCTTACATAACATAGACATGCGCTGGGCCCCGCGTTGTCAAACGTATTGGGAATTTTTTGCCAAATTTGGCCATAAAATAGTTTGAAGACTAGTAACAATAGTAAGCTTAATCTAAGAATGATAGATTTTTCTGGGAGCCATATGCGGTCACCAAAAGAGCCATATATGGCTCGCGAGCCATGGGTTCCCGACCCCTGGAATAGTCTCTGTAGAAAGCACAGTATATATACAGACAAGGTGATTTAAACATGGGAACACTGAATTTTTATTTGTCATATTATAATTATGTTGACTTATCAGCTTAGTAAATAGTGAACTCTTACACATCAGCGACTGCTACTAGCCTACTATGCAGCCTTATACACAAAGAGATTTTCAGGCCAGAGACTGTTCATCAAACATAAACAGTCCTCAGTAACTTCAGGACTCGAAATAGTGTTACTTCATAAATAGCTAGACTAATCCATCCAATAAACTGTGAAAGTCAATGGTTTATTTAGAAATAGGAATCAAAAAATTTCAAAAATTTCAGCTACGGTAAATATCACCTAGAGAATCAAAGCAATGAAAGTATACTTACGGTTAAGGTGATTCAAAACATGAGGACACTGATATTTTGTTTGCGGTATTATGAGTATATTTTATGGTCTATTAATTAGGTTCACGGCAGTCACGAGGACACTGATATTTTGTTTGCGGTATTATGAGTATATTTCATGGTCTATTAATTAAGTTCACGGCAGTCACTGGAATGCCAAGAGTTACTGAAACTATATATATTTGTATCGATGAAATTATAAGATGACTTGTATTAATTTTAGGCTAATTGCCACGGGGACTTGGCCCAGTGATTCGACTGGAGTTCAGACTCAAACTTTACTTGAGACTTGGATGTCCCACAAGTGTACTTGACTTGTAACTCAGGGTCAGGAGACCTCATTCAAATAATGAAATTGGAAATCAAAAATTCATGAAACCTATCTTGATAATAGTGTTCCCAATTTCAATAACTAAATGTGCTGGCTATACAATTCAAATTGAAGGTACTATTCAATATGTATGATTTCTAAGTTATATCTACCATACTAGCTTTTAGAAGAAAAGAAACCAAAACAATTTCGAACTGGATAACACTGAACTTGGATCAATGGCTTAGTGGTTAGCGCATGGGTCCTAAACTATCTTTAAATCACAAACTAAAAATATTGAGTTGAAATCAGTCCTGGGAAGGCTGGACCATCTGTCAGAGAGTCAAAGTGACTTGAGTCAGCGACTCATATGCAACTGACTGTTGGTGAGAAATTGAAGTTGAACCAAGACACGGTTAGGGTGACACAACTTTGGGTACTCCCGTAGTCTGTGTACCAGGTTAGGGTTAGGCCATAATTTTATACCGATTTTCAGTCCCTTAACACAACTTGATGTTAAGCAGGAGAACAAAATTAGTTACTTCCATATTGGTACACATACTCCTGTGAGCGCCCAACTTTGCACTTGGCCTCGAATTTGAATCAAGACTTGAAAAGCCGTGGCCTCAACTTTGCACTCAGACTCAAGGTTGAATCAAGACTCGAACAGACGTGGCTCAACTTTGCACTCAGACTCAAAGTTGAATCAAAGACTTGAACAGCCCGTGGCTCAACTTTGCACTCAGACTCAAAGTTGAATCAAGACTCGAACAGCCGTGACTCAACTTTGCACTCAGACTCAAATTTGAATCAAGACTCGAACAGCCGTGGCTCAACTTTGCACTCAGACTCAAAGTTGAATCAAGACTCGAACAGCCGTTGCTCAACTTTGTACTCAGACTCAAAGTTGAATCAAGACTCGAACAGCCGTGGCTCAACTTTGCACTCAGACTCAAAGTTGAATCAAGACTCGAACAGCCGTGGCTCAACTTTGCACTCAGACTCAAAGTTGAATCGAGACTCGAACAGCTGTGACTCAACTTTGCACTCAGACATGACTCAAGACTTACATAACCAATGACTTTACTTGTGACTAAGGGTTTGGGGACTTTTACCCAACACTGGTCGAACCCCAGCATTGATGTAATAACATTGAGTTGCAATTGAGTGCCAGGAATGTTATCATTTCAAGAATAAATGATCCTAATGCACCAACACCTTGTTCGGGTTGAAATTGCTAGAACAACTAATAAAATGGGTTGCTTTATGATATTTCCATTCTCTGAGCTTTCCCATCTCATGATATAAATTTAAAATTCCTATCTTAAAGACTGGAGTTTACTTAAACATCAACCCAAGTTTCAGATTAGAGATCAAAAGTATCAAAAACAAACAGAAATTCTCAAATTAATAAAATAATTTCTGAAATGTTACTTTAGTTTCAAATAAATAGAATTGGTCCTGAAAATAGTGTTCATGTTTTGAATAAATAGAAATTCTGATTGCATAATCCTAGTACCATTCCACTTTGTGAACAAAGCAAACTTATTAATAAGTAATGTATTAGTCACCAAAACAACTTCTAGAAGTGTAGATATACAATCAGCAAGGTGTATGGAAACACTGAATATTTCCACACATGTACAAGGCAATATTTCAAAAACTTCCCTGTAACCTTGTATTAGTTAAAGTTACATTACAAGATTTGAATGTCTCAAGAATAGTATTTCCTCTGTTAAAACAATAAACTCCAGCTACACAATCCAACTACTTTGTACCATTCAATATTTTTCTTTACAAAGCAACTGAAGGTCGTATTTTTCAAAGTATATTCACCACAAGAACTTTCAATATAACATGATAAACATATGGTTTGATGAATTACAAAATGGGAACACTGAATCAGTAATTACGAGCGAAGCAAATATCAATTTGTAAAGTACTTTCCACCAAATTGGCTACAATAAGAGCAGGGTATGTTAGGTCAAAATATGTTGTTTTCACATAAATCCAATCCTCAATCCTCTATCTCAGTCTTGATATTTCCTAAACTTTCTCCCGTGTTACAACAACCAAAATTGAAATACTTTCTCATCCAAAATTGACTGATATCAAAACTGTGTGAACGACAGACATAGAGACCAAATATATTTTATAAGAAATTTTCGCAAAGCAAGGTCATATGCACTAGCTCAGAAATAACGAAGCTTGATCTTTGAGATAAGTCGTGGGTAACCACAGAAGGATTCTAGGAAAATTCGCCACATGAAATTTTGTCGTAGGAAATCTCGCCGCAGAAATTTCGCTACATAGGGAAAATTGCCGCGAGAGAATTTTGATGTAAAACAAGTAGTTGTGAAAGTACCATTCTATTCAAAAAATATTCGTTATTTATTAAGAGCCACCCCTAACTCTATAAACCTAACTGTTTTTATCACAAATACCTGTTTAATTTCCTGGACACGCCATAGTAACAGATTCTGAGATCCTAAAAATTATGGCATACAAACTGCTGTTATTGTTTTGATATGTTTTTGGTCTTTCTGATTGGTCATTCGTCATTGATTCTCAGACGTGCAGAGGTAGGAGAGTAAACCTGAACCTGATAGTAGGGATGTCAATATACCATTTGTATGTTTTTAGATTTCAGGTATTCAGAATAGATCTATTTAAAAATTACCTCAAACTAAAGCAATTCCAATGAATAATAAGCAATAAAATCTAAATTTTTTTACAATTTACGGTATAAGGAATGTACACTTCTGGACTTAGCTGAGGTTTTGTTTGCTCTCCTAATTTCATATTCAGTTTTCATTTATTTGTTTTATCAATCCTTTTATTGTCTTTTATGCTGATTATGGAGCCATCAATCTAACATACAATTGCAATACAACCGAGTAGTCATTGGAAGCCAAGAATGACACATTCCTTCTAAGTATAATACATTTAAATAGATGCCCCTTATACAGAGAGAGATTGTGAGAACAAATTATAGAAAAATTAATAATATATGTTGGCCATCTTATTGACTTTCCTCTCTTTGACATGAATATGACAATCCTACCTTAAAACCTGGAGTTTACTTGGATGTTGACCTAACTTCAGATTAGTGACCAAGTATGAACATAACCTGAAAATAGTGTTCCCTTTTATCTTAATAAATATTTGTCCATACAATCCAGTTAAACAGCCTTATTAAATTAATATTCTTTGCATGGCACATTTAATTAGTAATTTGTATGGTATATTCACCAAAATAGGTTATAGAAAGACAAGTAATAGTTATACAGTTTATGTGATTTGTCATATGGGAACACTGTATTTTACATAAAAACAATCTTTAACTAGGACATTATTTATCTCAGTATTGTTCTTTACTCAATTCTCTCTCATCTTACAAACACCGAACTTTCTCAATCATATTGGATTGATATCAAAACTGCAAGATTAATAAACACCAGTAAGTCAGAAAATGAAAACTCAAAAAGAATAAAGTTTCATATACATAGGGTTACCATATTTTTGTGACTTCAAATCGGGACGCCTCGAAAGACAACGACCCCTTAGCTGTGATTTATACCTTCACATTTCCCGATTTTACTACATAGGATACATTCCTACATTTAAAGCTGTCTCGGCTATTTTTATTGACCATATTGTTATCGAATTTTCATGCCCATATTCTCTGTCAAAATATCGGGTTCAGTTCCAAAAATCGGAGGTAATTGACGTTGACGATACCGGTACAAATAATTCTAATTTAGACTAATTAGTATTGGTTTTACATGCGATACGTCTGCCATCAATGAGAATCAGCGGGAAACGAACGCATTCACCTTCAGTAAGTAAGCTAGGGCTGCGCTACACAGAAACAACAGTAACGAGAACATGTTTGTGTATTATGCTGGAAAAGCGGGACTTTTGGCTGACTTATCGGACGGCGGACAAAACGCTGGAAAGCGGGGCTGTCCCGCCTAGGGCGGGACGTATGGTAAGCCTACATATACAGTAGGGATTCTATCTACGAAAGGCTCTCTACACAAAAATCCAGTTTTCGAAAATTCCTTCCATAAAAACATTTCTTTGACTAATGTCAGATTTTTTACAAAAGGCCGGATACTTGAAAAACGTGAGCACTATTATTTGCCTTTTTTATATTAAATTCAATGCAGTGCTCGGAGTCCACTTTTTATACCGTATTATTTTCAATAATGCTCTGAAAGTTGAAAAGTATATACACTAGAGCGAAAGACTCGAATGAGCCAAGAAAGAGCGGCGTGCGGTGCGGGGCCGGTCGGAGCGCACACTTTTCTCGGTGGCTGGCGGGCGAGAGAGTGCTGCGTCGCCGGCATCGGCGTCGAAAGAAGCCGAGCCGAAAAAAGTTATAGTAGTGTCAAACTCGTGGGTTTTTGCGGGCAGCATTGCATTTTGGGAATTGTGCCGAGAGCCGCAAACAGTTTTTGCTCAATTTTAATGATATTGTGACATAATTAAACAGTGAATAAAGCTTCATTATTTTCCTAAATTCAAATGCCATTTACATATCAATTCTTGCATTTAACTATTATTGTAATTCACTAATTTATTACAAAAAATGCAAGTTCTTATTCTTTACAACTATCCAAAAACATTTTTGAACAAACTTTTGATAAGAAAAGAACAAAAGAATAATACATACACTAAAAATGACTTAATATTAAAATATAGACCTAAAATTTACAA